GGATTCACCCTAAGGGTCCAGGTATCTCTTTAGGAGGGTCCGGAATCTCCTAGGGAGAGCCCTTGGGTCTCTTTGGGGTCTCAGAAATGGTACTTTTTGAGGTGCCCGAAAGTATTAGGACCCTCAGGGTGAAAGGGTCCAACTGAATTGTTGAGGGGGATACTTACCCAGACTACGTACGTATCGTAATACGATGTAAACTTAACCCTAAGGCTCATGGACCTCCACAGTGAAAGCCCAAACCTTAGCCCCCAAAGCCCAAACCTTCCCCTAGAAAGCCCATAACAGCAATAAGAGCCTTAGAGCAGACCTGAAACCCTAAACCCAAAAACCCTAAGCCCATAACAGCAATAAGAGCCCTTAGGAATAGAAACCGGACTTTCTCCTGAGGGTACTGTGCTTCCGGACTCCCGGAGGCCTTCTGTATGTGGTCTCTATAGGGTTTCGGGTTTAGGGTTTAGGGTTTCCTTGCTTAAGGGGTTTTAGGAGTTTAGAGCTTTATAGTTTAGGGTCTAGAGCTTTATGGTTTAGGGTTTAGGGTTTAGGGGTGTAGGGTTTAGGGGTTTAGGGCTTAGGGTTTAGTATTGGTATAGGGTCTTGGAAGCAAGACCCTAAACCCTAAACCGTTTGAGGATCCTGCTTGGAGGATCTATAGCTGACCCGGAGCGCCCCCAGCTGCCCTTTCCTGTCGCCCCTGCCAAGGTCTTATATGGTTTAGGGTTTAGGGTTTAGGGTTTAGGGAACCCTTTCTAGATCCCTGAAAGGAACCCTTCAAGGAACCCCTGCCAGACCCCTTTAAAAAGGTTCTTGGGTGATTCCGAAGTTTGTTTTCGAACGCAATACGTAACAGTACCGCCTTTTATAATTAGCCACCAAGACTTATTCTAATGGTATCTATAGCCCTAAACCCTAAACCCTAGACCCCAAACCCTTAAGGCCCTAAACCCTAAAGACCCTAAGCCCTAAAGACCCTAAGCCCTAAACCCCAAACCCTAAACCCTAAGGACCCTAAAGACCCACGAAGGCGACCCCGTCTAAAAAAGGCCCAGTGAGCCCTGCAAGCCCTGACCCCTAAACTTAGGAACCCCAAAAAGGACAGAAGCATAAGCATGTTATAGGGATATCCCTACCTTATTGGGCTTCATTATAAGGGGGATTTATATGGGATATCCCTATCGTAATTTGTGCTTACGTGCATTTTTGGGGTCCTATAAACGGCCCTATGAAGGTCGAAGTGACCCTTAAAAATAGGGGCCCTCTACCCTTATACTATGCATCCCTATACCTTAAGGGTTATTAAAGGCCCTTTCTTGGGGTTTGTGAACCGGGGCCGGGGCCGGATGTCGCTGAGCCGATGTCGATGCCAACATAGGGTTTAAGGCGTAGGTTTTGGGGTTTAAAGTTTAGGGTTTAGGGTTTAGGGTTTAGGGTTTAAGGTGTAGGTTTTAGGATGGAGGGTAGAGCTCATGGATTATCTGGCTTAGGCTTTAGGGGTTTATGGGGGTCTAGGGTGTAGCGTGTCAGGTTTGGAGGTAAAGAGATTAGGGTTTAGGGTTCACAGGGTTTAGAGCTGAGAACCCTAAACCCTCAACTCCTAAACCCTAAACCCCAAGCCCGGTTTCGGGTGTAGGGTTTGGGGTTTGGGGTAAACCCTAAACCCTAAACCCTAAACCCTAAACCCTAAACCGTGGGTCAGGGCAGCCGGCCTTCTTGCGGCATCGGCGGCAAGCAAGCGTGGCGAGGACCGCGCTGCATCCGAAGACCACGGCCCCGGCCAGTAGCAGCCAGAAGCCGACCTCGTGGTTCACGATTTCGGGTGGTTCTCTAACGGAGGGTTTAAGGCAGTTCCCTAACTTCGGGTCGTTAATTAAAAGGGATCCATAAAGGTTACATTCTACGTGGCTGGTTCTCTAAATTAGGGTGGTTATTTCGCGTCCCCAAGCTGGTACAGCACACTTGTGAAGAAGGATCCTAAGATGGACCTCAATCTAATTTTTACAGCCGCTCTATTTTCATCCCTGCCGTGAGGCATCCTGGAACATCCCTAGATGGGGCCACTTAGACATTTCCACGTTGCATGCTTGGAACCCTAAACCCTAAACCCTTAAACCCTAAACTCTAAACCCTAAACCCCTTCGCGCAGTGGCGCAAACCAAACCCTCAACCCGCAATCTGACACAACACAGGCCCGAACCTACTGGGTAGTTCTAAATTAGGGTCCCTTTTTGGGTCCCGATATAGTACGGCACCCTTATAAAAAGGGACCCTAGAAAGGGGACCCTAATCTAGAGAACTGCCCACATGGGCGCACTAGAAGTCCGAGTTGTACCCACATCTGCTTTTGCATTCGGGCGCCTCGTCGTGCGCGGCCTCCATCCATGGGACATCGACGGCCTTAAGGGCACAGAAAAGCACATGGACGTAAGGGTCTCAGAATAAAAAGCTTCTGGCAACACCGGTAGTTGTTGGGCCCGTGTTGCGCGAAGGTCGTGCCTGCTTATGACCCGAAAAAACCATAACGACAACAGATAAGACATGATGCTCCACGCTGTTGGACACCACAACAAGCTTGGGCGAAGGAATGTGCTTCACCCTACACCCTAAACCCAACTACTTTATGTTTGCACATTTGACCATTTTCGGAACCGCTTGGGTGAACAGCTCAAACATGCATGGGCAAGGTCTTTAAACATGCTTATGCCGACAGGCTTCATGCATTAAGGGAAGAAAACAGAAGCTGAAGCCCATGTATGCTGCGATAAACATCCCTTCTCACAGCATGGCTCCGTACTGGCCGGCGTAACGAACATCCTTGCTGACAGTATGGCTTCGTAAGGGTTTGCGCCACTTTCCCCTGTCAACGTCGCACTTCAATGTTCACATCACAAATCCTGACCTCTGCGTCCCGATGCTTTTGCCCTGACCTGCTTACCTGCGCCGCCTGCCGAACCCTGTCAGGACCTCACTCAGCCTCTCACAAACAATTCACGTGCCCTGGCAATTTAGCCGTGTTTGAACGCGCGGCGTTTAAGCTTTAAGCCCCTCAAACTTCTAGTAGAGGATAGCAGTCTCACGAACGTTTCACATCTTCTTCTGGAACGTTTGGACGTGACTAAACTCGAGGCGGTTAAACTTGTTAAAACCCCACGTTCTCCACTAGCAACGCCTCCCGGTACCTCACTCGGCCTCTCGCAAAAGTCACGTCATGTCTAAACACGCTTAAACACACGGTGTTGCGATTGAACATGATTTTACACCCGGAGAAAGCCCCGAGACTTTCGTCCTCTAGCCAGGTGGGGGCGGCGATTTTGAAACGCTGACGCCATTGCTTAAACATGTGTAGCAATGATTCCGAGGAGGATGTCTACACATATTCAGTTCTGCCGGAGGTGTGTAGACACAAACTGCTTGAACAACAGAAACGTCACACAAATGTACGTGAGATCTCCGATATTTGATTCAACGCGTATATGTTTAAACGGCTTAGAATTTGGAAATGTTTCGTCCATCCCGGCAGGGAAAGCATGTTGCGAGCAAAAGCATGCTTATCCAGGGGCCTCTGCAAACTCTGCATACGGTATTTAGTTGGTGTGAGACTAAGGGTACTTGGAGAACCCACAACTCACAAACTATCTGTGGCACCTTTTATGACATTTGTGGTCCCTCATCTTCTGAAGCTCGGATCTGGAGAAGTTCCAACGCAAGGACTAAGCCACAAACAGTTCCTGGCTTTGCTGAGCCAAGGGGCGGCGGGACAGCTGCTGGCGTCGAAATGCGTGTTGGCTTCGAACATGTTCAGCGCGCCCGATGTCGCAACCAGTCTTAATGTCAGGTCAGCCTGCTCGGTATTGCCGCAGGTGAGGAGTGCGAAGTGCCAATCTCGAGCAGCCGTCGTCTGATGGATGTTGATGCCTTAGTAGCTAAGCCCTGAACTGCAACGGGATAACCGTACATATACATATATATATATATATACACACATATATATATATATACATATATATATATATATACATATGTCTGTATACATCAAAAACCTCCAAAGGTCACCTACTCAGCCAACAAGATACGGAAGTTGAAGTTTTTCTGGTCGTGGCTCTCTCCGAGCTGACGCTTCAAGTTGGCGGCACTCAGCTTCTCGTCGCAGGTCATCTGGCCCCACGAGTCCTTCTCAATTGCGCTTTCCAGAGGCCAACAAAAGTTCCAGCTTTCAGTTGTGAAGAGTTACATAGATAAATAGATAGATAGATAGGTGTACATATATATATATATATATATGTATGTCTATATATATATATATTGTGCGTGTGCATACATGGTGTGTATGTATATACATATATATATATATACATAGTATATATATATATATATGTATATATATATATATACACAGAGTTCCAGTATATACATACTATATATAGTGTATATAAAGTATGTACTATGCACGTATATTGTATATATACACTAGAAACTGAAGTCTGTATCTATATATATATATATATGTGGTAAAGGTAGTATGTATATATATATATGTATAATATCTATATATATATATACACTAGAAACTGAAGTCTGTATCTATATATATATATATGGTAGAGGTAGTATATATATATATATGCATGTATGTATGTATATGTATATGTATATGTATATGTATATGTATATGTATATGTATATGTATATGTATATGTATATGTATGAATGTATGTATGTATGTTTGTATGTA